GTAGGGTGGGAAGGGTGAAGAGGAGGGGTGGCAGTGTGGATGTGGATTTTTCTAGTCTTTTGTGCGAATCACAGGGAATGGTAACTATAAACATCCTGTATTCATTAAAACCATCTAAAAATACAATTTTGGAGTGGGGGGGGTGGGTGGAGCGAGGGGTGCACTCACTTCCTCGCCGCTCCTCCTCGGTGTATACAAGCGGGCTGTGTTATGCCTGGTGCTGCTCATATTTACATATTTATAAATACTGGGCTGTACAATGAGACGAGGCTGTGCCAAGAACAACAGTTTCTGCTAGTGTAGGGCCCGGATGCCTGGGAGAGGGAACAAAGGAGCCACAGCCACCTTCAGTGGCATGGAGAGGGCTCACACAGCTCCTTCTGCACCCTTCATATGGATATTCATGTGTACAGAGATGGGGCAACTTTGAGGCTACTTTTGATGTGTGGTGACATTTATAGATGGGTCTGATATGCTATGTGATGTGAAAGAAACATTCAGGCACTCCACTGCAACTGACCTCAACCTGTTTTAAAAAGTTATTTTTCCCACATATGTGTCCAAAAAAATCCTCTTCTCCCTCTTTTTTTTATTTGAATAGTTTCTCCTCGAGTCCTAATATGCATGTTTTCACCGTGTTCCTATTTTGTTAATTGTCTCGCGGCCTCTCAAAACTAGCGTGACCCCTCATACAAGTCCTGACCCCCATGTTGGTAGTCTCTAATCATGCAGATAATTTTATTTAACCCCATTAAAAGAGCTGCAACCACCTCCATCTTAATGCAACTGAGGTGTATTAGAAATGAGAGTTTTTGTTTGCAGCTTTGGAAAAACAACCAAAAAAAAAATCAACACAATCTGATTCCTCTGGTAGTGACAGTGACACCGTGCTCTGGCAGTGTACTCTGTTGATTATTCAGAGTAACAGGAACACTGTATTAACGAAGCTGTGAGCGCCACAAACAAAATTCTATTCACCTCATTCGGTCGGAGTGGAAACAGACATCTCAGAGACAGATTTCTCCAAACCCGTGGCTGAATTAATCTACAGAGCAGTCTGAGGAGGCAAGTGGCAAATTTGAGTAATTGGGATGAACAGACTGTTTAGGAAGCTTCACAATTATTTGACTTGAATTGAAATTGAACATAAAATTTTAAGCTGAAAGCAGGTTCGGTGCTTTTTTAAAAATATAAATTCTATATTAGCTAAACCCTAACAGTCTTCAAACGTAGGAAGAACACTGGTGTAACAGTCGCCAGCATTTCTTCGTCAGTTTGTCTTTGCTTTCATATCAATGAAAGCTGTGTCTGTTGTTTTCACAGACTGCTATTAAAGCCAGGTGATCCCTCTGAGACGGCATTCACACACTCACACTTCCTCGCGCACACACCTAGTCCGGCGTATTCTCAAATCGGTCTCCGACACATGCTCAGAGTGCACCGATATGCCACTGTTCCATCCTCCTTCACATTTATCCATTCTGTTAAGCATGACACATGTATTAACAGTGGATGGATCCTGGAGCTGTGTGTCCTCACACCATATGTTTTGATTTCCCAGGTCCTCTCCTCCACAATAACCAAGCCGTCTCTTGTTAGCTGCTATCTCGCGACGCGCCACAAGAGGGCGCACTCACTCTTTTCACATTGCGTTTCAGGCGGCGTTGTGGCAATGTTGGCATGTGCTCTAGATCGGCGATTTTCTGCTGTTCCCTGGATTAAATATGAGACAGTAGTGGTTAGATCATTTTTAGTAAAATTAGATTTTTAGCAGTATTATATCTCCATCGTGTATGCACACTGCATCGCTCCCCAAGATAGACTGAATCTTTGAAGGAAACAAACAGATAAGCCTTGCATTCATGTGATAAATGAATGCCAGGCAGGTTTTCTGTGTCTGTGAGGTGCATCTGCCATCTACCCGAATGGGAAATTAAAAACTGTGAGGGGAAGTTATGCTAAATCTATAAAGTTGGCCAGGAAATCTCTCCCCCTTCACAGCGGCAGTTGTTTGGGGAGAAGGAGCACCATGCTTAAATAATAACATTCCAGGTGGCTTAGTTAATGAACAGTGAAAATCAAATATGGGGCCTAATCTGGAGCTCGTTACAGGAAGTTTCTTTACAGGGAAGTCAAAGGCAGGAAGTGCCCTTGGGGAGAAACACTTTTTGATGCTTCAAAACAAGGAAACTTTTTTTTTTTTTTTTGGTTAATTTTAGTGATGGTGGATTTTGTATATGAAATAAAAAAATATATATAAAAAAAAAGATCTTACAGCAAATCTTAAGCACATTAAGAAATAAGTGATGTTTACAGGAGTGTAAAGCAAAATCATCTGCTCATTTAGGTGCAGCTTCTTAAGCAGAAATACTGAAATGTCTATCATAAGGGACCGCTCGAAATATATGTAGACGTATGCTCAAGTATCTATACATACGCTTCAGTGCTTATTTACTGTCTTAGCTTGCCATCTTGTGGTCATAGTTGGTTATGAAATCATATTCTCATACCGCTAAAGAATCATAGTAGTGACTCCTTTCTAGTATGATGATTGCATATCAGTTAAGATTACCCTTTTTTTTTTTTTTAACTTTCTTCCACGTTTCTTCCGCTGGACTTCCTATTTCAGTGTCTTTGTTCTTCAATGCACTGAAAATGTCTTCACCATAAGCCGAGGTTTGTTCTTTGATCCAAATTTTTTGAAGGATAATTTGCTCACAAAATAAAACAAACTTGTCGACAATTTAATTAAAAAAGATCAAGAAATTCCTCCAGTGCTCTCTGCCCTGCCAATGCAGCTATGGAGGGAAAATAGTCCCAAAGTGGACACAAATGTGTCTTACACGATCCACAAATTAAAATGAAATAAATAAAAAAAGATTTACAAATGTGGACAACAGAACTTGCAAATGTACACTCCAATCCACACACAAATACCAATTAAATTTCAACACATGGTAAACAATTTGACAAACGCACACAACAAACTGAATAAATATTTTACATGCAGATTTTTAAAATTTTTAATCCTGATCATTTTCAATTTAGAAAAAGCTTCCTGTCTAAATAATCTATGGATACATGTGGCTAATATTGAAGAAAAAAAACGTGGAATTACTGTGTTGTGGGAATCTGATGAGTTATTTGACTAGAACGTGACACACCCTTTAACACACAGTACACAGTTACATACCCACAGCCAGTCATGTTAGTGGTAGTAAATGTGGAATTAAATTTTAACATATATGTACCTGTTTTCAGTCACCACGTCTACTAAAATACATACATTTTTGTCATTATGCTTTAGTATTATTGGAACCATCTGAAGTAAGCAACAAAGTGTTTGTTGCTCAGTGTTGTTGTTGCTCTTCGCTCCATGCACAGAAAGCCCGAGAGTTATTACTCAGCGTTGAATCTGAGAGATGCTTTATCATGTTATTAGCTCTTTATTTCCCCTCTGTTATAGTGGCACTTCCTTTCATTTTTATATCCATTCCCATACTTGTGAAAGCACAGCTCAAATAAACCCGTGTTTTAATTTGGTTTTGCCAGATTCATAACGCCACTTTAAAAGAACATGACATGCAAATGTGCTCAGCGGTGTTTTATTGCAAAATAATTTTCAAAGAAGTTGCTGAGGGAATGAAAGTGCAGAAAAAGAAGAAGGGGGGGGGCTGGGTTGTATTATTTAGTGGTCGCTGCTGTGGGACCTAATTACAGTTATGCATTTATTACTGTCTCACAGAGACTTAAAACTTTTTTTTTTTTTAATATTAGAATTACTCACTCCTCTTCTCACCCACTGTCACACTTTCTGTCATACAACTGAGCCAACCAACTTGCTTGTGTCGAGCACTCCACTTGTCATAGCTATAACGTGTTAGCATCTGATATAATAGTCCCCTACCACAAACTCTGTGTACAGAAGATGCAACTAATGCAATGAAATAAACGCAAGATTTGTACAGGTGATATAGCAATCTGATTAAAGCTCTTATGACTTTGCTTATGCAAAAAAAAAAAACAGTTCTTTACCATGCTGAAATGACTTCCTAGTGGTTGTTGTAGTAAGCACAGTGGTGGACATAATAACAGGAACACTCTAGAATGCAATGCAAAAAAAAAAGTGTTACAAAAAGAAGGTTACATATTAATTCAGCCATATGGACATGTATAGTGCTGTATGCATTTTTGTCTGATTGTGTTACATTTTAATGTGTTTCTGTTACTTTGTCGCCCTTTACTTTAAGACACCAACCACACACTGAATCATTAGTATATCAGCATTTAGAATGCAGCTGTGAAATTCAAAAATTCATCAGGAAATTTAGGACTGTGTGAGCTAACTTGTTTTTTGTTGTGTTTTTTTGTTGTTGTTTTTGTGTGTTAGTTTTTTTTTCTTGTGTTGCTGGTCACTTTTTTGTTGTTTCTTTAAGTTATGTTAAATTTAACACAAGCTTAGGTTGTGTAAATCTGACAGTCTGAAAATATTTAATTCATCTACTGACCATATGATGTAATGCTGAGTGTGTGTGTGTGTGTTTGTGTGTTTGTTTGTGTGTGTGTTTGTTTGTGTGTGTGTTTGTGTGTGTGTGTGCTGAAGGGTGGGGTCAGTGTGTTGGGTCCATGGTGCTAATCTGCCTCTTGTTCTCTCATTGGCCGTAGTGCATCTGTGGGTAGGAGAGGAGGACCAGCCCATGACCCATGACCCCGCGTTGACCCACGACCCCAACCATCTTAACAACGACCTTAACCACCCTAACAACCATAACGTAGGCAACCCCAAGGGGCAGGACGCCCACGCTGTAAACAAAGACTAACGACCCACACCGGAGCAAGGCAGAATGATGAGGATGATGGTGATGATGAAGGCGATGATGATGATGATGATGATGATGATGATGATGTGGAGCAGGATGAAGGTTAAATGAAGGAATACACTATAACAAAGACTTTATTTAAGATGAAAAAAAACAAAACAGAAAAAAACACATACTACCGTCAGAGTCAAGAGAAGGTGAGAAAACGATGCGATGGAAAGTTTGGGACAGTTTCCTTTGGGGATGGATTTGCGAGATGGACCTAATGACTTTTGCAAGCATCCTTGGACACTAAACAAAGTGACAGCAACCTTCCTGTTTTGTCTCCTGTGGTCTGAATGCCCCTTGTCTTTGTTGTCTTATCTCTTACACATTTTTTTGTTTTGTTTTGTTTTCTTTTGATGAAACTACCTGTCTGATTAGCACTTCTTGTAACTGGCCGTGCAATTTCTGATACATTCCTTGAGCTAGAAAGATATGTCTTTTTAAATTAGGACTAAAGTGTAGTGCTTAATTAAATGCTTTTCTCTCCTGTTCAATGAAGAAGATAGTCATTTCACAAGTCCACAGACCACAAGTATGTTGTACCTTGTAGAATGTATTCTACTACGGAATAGAAACTGTTGACAGAGACCAAGCACATTGCTGTCAAACCAGCCACTTGTGGCTCACATAGACTCACTAGTTCTGCCCTGCGGCCATGCATCACTCTGGTTATAGTTAACAAAGGACAGGGCAACATTAAATAACCTACAACACGTTTGTTTCCAGATATAGTATGGTATTGCTGGTATGAAAACATACCCATAGTTGACTTTTGATGATGGTGGTGTGAATAATGATTGTGAAGAAGACAGAACATTCAAACTGCCCTAAATGTAATCATAATATTATACCCCCAGGCCTTCACCCCTTTACAGTATATCCCTTTGTCTTTTTTCTTGTTCTGTATCATTCAACACAGCTCCCATAGATGCTTAATGTACATAGAGAGATATACAGTAGCTGAAAAAGTGAAAACAAAAGTTTTAAAAACATTTGTGATGAGGAAAAGCAAAGAAGTCACAGTAGTTTACATGGCCACAGTCTCAAATGCTAGGCATTCTGCTCGAGTTTGAAAGAGAGGAATTTAAAAAAAAAAGAAAAAATGAGAAAAATCTCAAAAACAAAAAAGCGGGAACAGTTTCTTTCTTTATAACCCTACACCCCCTTTCTCTTCATCTCTTATGTCAACCTCAAGGACTCTAGCATTGCAAATGTTTGTAAAATACTGCCACCAATCATTGTTGCACAGTGTTACTGACTACTGAAAATGGTTTGATGTATTTACTTTAAGATGAGAAAAAAAATAACATAAAACTGGAAAAAAGACATATTGTGTATAGCCTTAGATACAAGTCATCTGTTATTGCTTCTACAAAGCTATGTAGCTGTGCTAGACCGTAGGACGTAGGGTTGATTTTATTTTTAATTTTTATATGTACTGTACATTAATGCCTTGTCCATTTACTGATCAAAAAAAAAAAAAGAGGAAAAAGATGACAATCGTCTCCTGTGCTGCAAACATATTTGCCCCCATATATACAGAATCCATTATGCATAGAAGGACTTATCCTTTCTTATTTCTTTCATTTGTTTTGATTCTCAGAAGTATTTTGCACTGTGATAGTATTATAAATCCAACCTATACAGTACAAAACTAGCTAACTAACTAAAATGAAGGTGTGTGTTTGTGTGTCCCTTGGCATTGTGAAATGTTTCTACGTCATTTTTTGTGAACCCAGAGAAAAAGTCTAATGCGGTATGTACAGTCCAAATATACTTCTTTTTTTTTTAGTTTGATCAACCTCTATACTGTATGTGGCTTTGACAAATTGTTACTCAGATTTCTTTTGTATGCTAATCTCCTTCTGACCTACAGCGCGGGCCTGTTACTGCTTTAGCCTGGGTGATTTTCAGTGCTCAAATTCCAACTTGAGAAGACTTTGCTGCAGTACAGCCTCTTTTTTTAACCACTTTAATTTGATGTATGTAGATTGCAATTAACCATTCTTGCAATTTCAAAATGCCAGGCAAAGAGGGGATTTAAAATTAAAATAATAAGAGTGAGACATATGAAAAGTGAGAAGTAATGGTTTTTGGGGGTTTGGAAATGGGGTCTAAGTAAACATCTAAGATGTATCCTGCTGGAGGCACTGACCAATGGCTTTGACTTCTGACCCTATCTCTGTTTCCAGGGGTGTAAAGATGAGAGATAAATGGTGAGAGTTGAACTTGGGCTCTCTCCTTCTCTGAACCAGCTAAAATGATCATTCCACCCCTACATATTATGTACAAAACCTGTCTTGTGAGCTGAACACTCTTTATGTTTTGCTGTATCCTCATGGCAGATGCTTCGTTTTGTAACTACTGAACTGTACTTATAATAAAAATAAAATGTATTCAAACTAAAAAAAAAAAAAAAAAAAAAAAGGATTGTCACAGAGCAAGGGCCTGTTTCATGTTTTTAATTTCTTCATTTCTGGATCTGGCATCTGAATCCGGAAGGCGATGCGCTGCGTCGGACTGTCACTGTGTGATCAGAAGTGGGTAAACTGTTTGGAGAGTAGTCCATCACTTCAAACACAAGTTATTATCTCTCAGTCAATTTGATGTCAAATCTTCACAGGCTGTGATCATGATGTTGAATACACACAACTAAATTACTGTCTGCACCACTTTGTCTCCCAAAGGTGCTCGTAAAGTAGCTGTAGTGAAAGAATATGGGAATGACAGGAAATACGTGAGCGCACTCAGAGTGTCCCACATGGCAACGTAAAAGGAAGATTCATACATTTAAATTACAGCAAATCACTTTCAGATTAGAGACATGTGCAGTGAGTATCATACATCTTTGTCTCATGCTTCATCTCTGCCTTTGTTCCCAACTCCATTCACGTTCTTTGTTTGCAGGTTAATTTTTTTTTTATATCCCCACACCTTTAAAACATATTGAAAAAACTAACAAGAGATTGAATTCACTTTAGACTGAGATTAAGAACCAACTGGCCACATTCTTCACTATTCAGATGAGAAAAGCTGATACCTCATCCACCAGCCTGTCTATGCAAATACACAAATAGCGTAGTTGCTGCAAAATCATAATTAAAAACAAAATCTAAAAACATGCATTGAAGAGAAAGTGTGATGTATGACCTGGTCATTGCCGTCAGGTGTTGGCTCCACTTACAGTGGAACACTGGAACTCTGACTTGCACATGTTCTGTAACCTGAAAATGAATTCAAACTGTTAATACAATGATCAAATTAGGGCAACACTGGTTGTTGTGATATAAGTAAAATGGTTCATTTTATCTGGTTAGTAATTCTTCTCTTGATATCCACTGCACAGCGTTAGCTCACACAGAGCCACAACATTAAAACCACCTGCCTTATACTGTGTTGGTCCAGCACAGCAGCTCAGATTAATCGGGGCGTGGACACTGGGTTTCTGTAGTTGTCCTGTGATGTCTTGCACCAGGACATTGGCAGTGGATCTTTTTAGTCCTTTAGGTTGTGGGTTTGGGCCCCATGAATGGGACTTGTTCCACTGCATCCCCCAGTTGCTCCATCACATCAGGATCTGAAGAGTTTGGAGGCTCAATGCTGGGAGCTCTTTGTCATGTTCCTTGAGCCATTCCTGAGGAGTTTTACAGTGTGGCAGGGCAGACTAAGAAAACTGCTGCCATCGGCAAGTGAGTGTAATCTGCAACGGTATTTAGACATGCCAATGTAAACGTCCACATGCATGCCAGGACCCAAGGGTTGCCAGCAGAACATTACGTTGCACTGAGATGATCAATGTCATTCACTTTACCTGTCAGTGGTTTTAATGTTGTGGCTAACTAATGTACGTGTCACTTGGTGCTGTGTGCTCAGCACTTCAAGAGCATTTTAGGGTCAATAAAATATAACACTTTCTTTGACTTTTTTGATACTGTGACAGACATGGTGGTGGGTTTAACACTTTTCAACTTTTTATAATGCAATTAGATCATCTAGAAACATCAGCAAATGAATTAATCAGATAAAATAAAATAAGACATTTCCAACTACATCCAAGATTCTCACACAAAAGTTCAAATGGCCACTGAGTTTTTTAGGGTTCTATATGTGGCATGTGTGCAATAGTTAAAATATTTTGGCACTCAATATTGAGTCAAATTAAATGTAACTAATATAAAAACAGTCATAGTGCATGCTGGTGCATTTTTTGGTGCAAATAAACACTTACTGGATCAAACCTGTTAAATTGCTTTTTAAAGCAGTTATCTAGCAAGCCAGTCATGAGTCACAAACTAAACAAATGTAGGCATGTAGACATTGTCAAGAGGATATGCTGAAGTTCAAGCCAAACATCAGAATAGAGGAGAGGTAATTCAAGTGACTTTTTTTGTTGTTGTTTTGTCTTTTTTTTTAATGCACAGCTGTCTGTAGGGTTAACAGAGAAAAGTTTGCTAAAGAAATGAAAAATCCAATGAGTGCTGATTCTCTGGAGGAACAAAATACTAAATAGTTCATGGCACAGGTCAGTGAATAATGACCAGGCTGGTTTGAACTGATGGAAAGGCAAAAACAACTTAAATAACAATTCTTTAACCAATGTATGCAGAAGAGCATCTCTTAATGCACAACACATCAACCCTTGAAGCAAATGGGCTGCAGCAGCAGAAGACCACACCAGGTTCCACTCCTGTCAGCTAAGAACAAGAAACTGAGGTGACATTGGGCACAGACTCACCCAAATTGAACAATAGAAGATTGGAAAAGCATTGCCTGGTCTGATGAATCTCAATTTCTGCTCTGACGTTCAGATGGTAGGCTCAGAATTTGGCATAAACAACATGAAAGCATGGATCCATCCTGCCTTGTATCAACAATTCAGGCTGGTGATTGTGGTGTAATGGTGTGGGGAATATTTTCTTGGCACACTTTGGGCCCTTTAGTACCAAGTGAGCATCATTTATACAACACAGCTTAGCTGAGGATTGTTCCTGACCATGTTTATCCCTTTATGACTGCAGCGTACCTAACTTCTAATGGCTAGGTTCATCTCAATCTGGCTTCTTGAACAGGACAATAAGTTGCTGCACTCAAACGGCCAGATCTCTGCACACAAATCTGTAGAGGCTAGCTCTGAGGAAAGTTTCCTGCACCTTGTTGAATCTTTGCCATAAAGAATAAAGACAGTTCTGAAGGCAAAAAAGGGTCTAACCCTTTACTAGCAAGGTGTTTCCAATAAAGTACCCTGTGAGTGTACGATTACATAATAAAGAGCAGTTCTTTTATCATAACAGTAGAAATTACAACAAATCTTCACATCAAAAGTCAACTCCAACGCAAAGTTTTTCACCCCGTACGGCACAGCTGGTTTAACTGACCCTGCTTTTCAAAAGGAAGAAATATTTCCTGGTTTCATTGCCCCCCTCTGTTGTCTGAAACCTGATCGGCACCACTTTAATGGATTCTGTAACCCAACGTCAGGACCCCAAACATTGCTGAACCGCTGGAAGGCTGCCCAGGTCAATGCCTGACTAATTTTTATATGGATCAGCTGCAAAGCACCAGATGCTGGGAGCCTCCTGACACAAATCTTCCAGGTCTGTTCCCAATAAAACTCACATCTGGGGAAAGTAACTGTTTGACTGGTTTATATCGACACGCATGCACACACAACACCAAAAGAAGGCCGTTTAAGTTGGCGGCATGTGAGACTGAGCAGGAACAATCAGGATATTACTTGTTTCCACTGTGTGTCCTTTTGTGTGTGTGTTAACATTTTGTGTGTGCATGAATCATTGCTTCGTACGTGAGGGTTTGGGTGTGCATGTATGATTATGTCGTCTCTGGACATTTGAGTAAGTGTGTGTCTATCTTACAGCACGTCTGTATATCTGATTAAAGAACACATTAGGTCATCTTTCATTCCATCTGGCCTGTTGTGTATCTGTTTGTGTGTGTTTATTTATTGTTGCTGAGTAATCTGAACATTCGAAGCAACCCTTTTTCACAGCGTGATGAACACCGCTCTTTGCCCTTCATTTAACTTACTCTCCTATAATGTCCCCCCCCCCGCCCCACCATCCTTGTCTTTCATTTCTCTCGCCTTCTTTAGTATCTATTTCTTCTCATTTTCCTCCGTGACATGTTGTGCAGTCGGGTGTAAGCGCATATTTGTGCATGCATGCAGGCGTGTGGTATAATTGTCTGCATGAGTGTTTAAGATGATGCTGTGCAGTGGCTGCAGTTGTGCCAGCATTTGGTTGGTCACTGGGCAGATGGTGACCTGCAGATGAACCCGTCTTTCTGCTTTTGTTCAGCTGCCTCTAATTTCCCCTCCTTCCTTTACATTAGAAGTGCCGGGGCGTTCCTGTGCAGCTCCTCGTTTGCACCACAAGAGGGCACAGTAGACCAAGTGTTGGTGCGGAACTGTTCCGGCATGTTGCACTGCAGAAAGAAACACTGCGCGTTGTTGTTGAGTGTGTTCTGGGAATTTGGGACTTTTAGCAGCTGTATGTAGTTTAAATATAACTAAAATAAAAAAAACACAATAATCAATAAACTAACAGTTTCTTATTTCTCTATCAGAATTGTATTTGTGACATTGTGTAGAGGTTGAAATGGCTTTTAAAGCTTCATTTACAGATAAAACACAATCATTTAATTGAATACGTAAAGGGAAAAAAAGCACAATTAGGTAAAGGACATTATGTGGATTAATGTGCATGTTATTGTTCTTTCTGTCTTCTTTTGTAGCCTACTCTCTGCTAGCTTCAGAAGAAAACAAAAAGAAGACAAGATTGTAGCCCTCAAGTGTGGTCAGTTTTTGGGATAAGGACTATGTAAGCCAGGGGATGGCCTTTCACCCTGAGCATAGATTTGTCGACAGAATAGTTAGATTCTCTTTCCACCAACATGTTCTTTTTTTTTACTATATCACTGTGCTCCCTTCAGGCATTTGGGTTTTGTTTAAGGTTCCTAGATGTGGCATCACTAATGACTATTTCTACCCTTCTTTCTGTGGTTATATCATAATTCCATTACTGTACAAGCTATACGTTCCTCTGTAATCACAACATAAAAAGCCAGGGCCACATTCTACAAAAACAGCACAGGAAAATAAAACCAATGCATTAGTTTGCAAATCACCTTTATAATTATTTTTTTTAAACTGAAAAACTACGCTTGGCTGACACCGGTTCCTTTCTTATTCCTCTAGATAGCCTCTGCTGGTTGCACCAAAAGGTTAATGCTTAAATGCGAGTTGAACGTGTTGTGCAAAGGAAGGAATTTATTGCAAATTGCTCAAAGTCCGATACTAAATTTAAAAATTAACAGTTTTTTATAATGAATAAATTTGTCCTGTCACATAGATTAAACTGCCAATTGTTGTTTTATGACACAATGCAAATAGTGTCGGGGGGATTTGTCAG